GGGAGATAAGTATAAGGAAAAAAGATAAGGCAGTGTTTATTGGAGGGAATTAGTGTTGGAAGGAAGAAGGGAACATTCAGGCAGAAGCAGGAGGAGATGATTTAGTCTAGATATGCATGGCAGGTCATGTTGGATCCTCCACATAAGTTGAGCAGGATCAAGAATGAACTTTGGATCCTTCCTCACATAGTGTCACTCTAGGATCAAAAGAGATTTCCAGATACAAATTCTAGCCCTTGGGTTTCAGAGAGCTTCCTGGTCTTGGAAACTGATCACGAAAATGCTTACACAACTGAGATCATCCATTAATCTTGTTGAATGCCCTATTTTAGTATCCTTAACAGTTTGAATTGGTTCTTTCTGAGTTTTGGGTCCTATCAGTCAAGAAGTATCCAAGACCAAGTGACTAGTCATCACAGTAAAATCTCTCTCCATACTATATTTTTTGGACTTACTATAAGGAGCTCTGGTAACATAGTGGCTAAGACACTTGCCTGCTAACCAGACGGCTGGTGGTTCAAACCCACCAGCCACTCCTCGGAAGGAAGGTTGGGCAATCCTACTTCCGTAGTGATACTGCCTTGGAAACCCAAGGAGGGGTCGCTATGAGTCAGGTTTGACTCGACGGCACATAACAACAACAACAAGTCATTATAAGGAGCTCTGGTAGCATAGTGGCTAAGACACTTGCCTGCTAACCAGACGGCTGGTGGTTCAAACCCCCCAGCCACTCCTCGGAAGGAAGGTTGGGCAATCCTACTTCCGTAGTGATACTGCCTTGGAAACCCAAGGAGGGGTCGCTATGAGTCAGGTTTGACTCGACGGCACATAACAACAGTAACGATAAGGAGATCTGGTGGCATAGTGCCGAAGGCATTTGATTGCTAACCAGGAGTTTGGTGGTTCAATCCCACCAGCCACTCCACAGAATGAAGACTGGGCAATCTACTTCCATAAAAATTTACCACCTTGGAAACCAATGGGGGTTGCGGTAAGTCAGAATCAACTCTATGGCAGTGGGTTTGGTTTTTAGTTTTATTGTGATCTTAATCCTATTGACTAC